AGAATTAGATGCAATTAAGTCCCACCTTAGGCATGAAAGCCAAATGGATAACTTTGGGCCAGTCACTCTCTCAGCCTGACCCAACTGAGAATTGTTATTGTGGGAAAATAGGAGGATGGAATGTATGTTCACTGGCTTTGAGTTACTTATAAAGCAATATAGGCAGGATAAAATTCAGATCACAAAATCCACACAATATGAAAGATTGTTCATTAACACTGACTTCTTAACTACACAATTTGATAAAACAATTGTGTTACTGGGCGGGGGAGAGGAAAAGCAGGAAGCACTGTAATTGGTGGAAGAGATTAAACTGAAGGAAAGTGTCCCTTACATTAAGCAGGTAAACTTCAGAAAAAAGGAATTGTGTAGTGTGTTTCCCCAACCATTTGGCTGGTAGCTCTGGAGCTATAGTTAAGAAAAGGTTGGAAGAAACAAATTATCCCTTTATCACTTCCTCTCCACAATAGAATCCACTTCCTCTAGAGACCAAATTCCATTTCCTTCTAGTACAGATGATGTTACCTAGTAAGGTAATGAAACATCTGCAAGGAAACAACCAAGATCAGAAAGCACCAACGGCTATCAACTTCCTCTTATTAGGCTTGGTAGGCAGTGCATTTTGCTCCACTCAGGAAATCAACTAAGGATTTTATGTGTTGAAAATTAGATAAAACTAAAGAAAAGAAATATGAACAGAAGGGAGGACCTACAGATGAAATAAATAACCAGGGCAGCTGCAGCAATTTTTTATGCCTGTAAGGGACAGCACCCCTACCTTCAAAGACAATTGGTTGATGCAATTGGATCTCTATTACAGGAATTCTCTTCAGATCATGCACACTATTATTCATGCACACTGCTTCCTTTCACCACACAAATCAGATCAAAATCTATCAAGGGCAAATAGCTCTATACTCCCTTCACTAGCTGAAGCAGTGGATAATACCACCCATTATTCTTTTCCTAGCAGGAATTTTCAGGGGCAGAATCTAATATTTTGCTTATAAATAGCCACTGGGGAACTACCGTGTTTCCCCAAAAATAAGACAAAGTCTTTTTTTTTCCCTTTTGCCTCCAAAAGAGGCACCTGGTCTTATTTTTGGGAGGATGTTTTACTCATCTCCAGCACTGACAGCCTCACCCAGCAGGTCCACTTTTTCTGCAGCCGAAGGAGCAGCTTCATTCTGCAGCCGCATTCCGGCCTGCATTTTGCAGTCAGGCCTTTCCAGAAGGCCACTACAATCGAATACTGAGCTATGAATTGAATCCGTAGCTCGGTTCTCAGCTGGACAGGCCTTCCGGAAAGGCCTGTGACTGAGAAATGCAGGCCTGGCTGCAGAAGACGCCGCAGAGGAAGTGGGTCGGCGAGGAGAGGCCTGGCTGCAAGGTAAGTGGGTGCAGGGAACATGGAGCAGCTCCACACCCCTTCCCTAGCTTGATTTTTAGGTGTATGCCTCACCCCAAAACTAGGGCTTATTTTTCAGGTAGGGCTTATATTAGGCCCAGCCCCAAAAATCAAGCTAGGGCTTATTTGGGGGCTACGTCTTACTTTCGGTGAAACATGGTATATTTTACCATGTGGTTGCAGCAACAGATTCATCAGAGAATTGAGAATTGCAAAGAAATGAACCAAATAGGCATGTCTTTAAAATTAAAGATCCTATGTCCTTACTCTTTGTGTGACTTTCACTTTTTGACATTCCAAGAACATACTTAGCCAGATAAATTTAATGTACTGTACAAAGAAGCAACATGAAATATGATTTGCTTGCACTGTCAGAAAGATTAGTAACTAAGAATTAGATTCAAGATCCAGATGATTAGATGCCAATATAGTCCTCACTTACCAACTACCTCATTTAACAACTGTTCAGTTACTAGTGTAAAAATAGCTTTGTGGCCCATTCCTCACAATTACAACCATTTCAGTTTCACACGATCACCAGCCAGATGCTTTGCAACCATTGCAGCATCCCGCAGTCACATGATCGCCATTTGTGTGCTTTGCAAATGGTTTGCAACAAGCATAGTTTATAATAGAGAAGGCAGAAGCCATAAGTTACAGTCACATGATGTTTTACCTAATGACCAGTGTGATTCACTTAACAAAAGTGGAAGTTAGCCTGTCACGATCACATGAATTTCTGCTTAGCAACGACGACACTTAGCAACAGTTGCCAGTTCCAATTAGTCGCTATGTGAGGACTATCTGTATGCAGTATATTTGAAACAAGACAGACAACAAGCAAGTCAGGCAAGCAGGTCAGGGTTTTGTAAATGCTATGATCATGCAGTGCAAATGCAGGAATTAACCGGCAAAGGACTCAACATTCTGACAATATCTGTTCTTGAAAAGCAACATCACATATGGGGTATGTTTGTTAATGAGAATAATTGATTAGATATTTTGTCAAAACTCCCCTTAAGGCTGTGCTTTCACTTAAAGGCTGGAGCTGAATGCTTTGCAAATAATCCATATCTGATGAGTGACATTTCAAATGATATGGAAGGAGAACATAACAAAGATGCCAAACTGTATTAGGAGGGAAGGATGCATAATTTGGCACTTTTTGATATACAGTTCTGATATTTGAACTGCAGTACACACAGAGCCTTGGATTAACTTCACCAGTCAAACAAAAACGCCCAAATTAAACTTATTATGTGCTGCTGGGAATATATTGTGCGGTACACTATGCTGGGATGAAGTAGTATGAAAGCTAATAAGTTGCTCTTCTGATTCCTAGTTAAGTTTTACCTAGTAGCAGAATTTAAAAGCTGTAATGTGTGAATGTTAAGAAACATGAACATTTTCAACAAAAATGGCTCTTTCATGATGTCCTTCAGCAATTTTCATAGACTTAATTAAAACATTAAACAGAAAAATGTCTTGGTGTGCACTTTTATTCTGATTTGTTTCTTCCAACTTACCAGTCAAGATAAATTCTATTATAGGAAAACTCTTTGAAAGAATTTAACTTCCAATCATTTTAATATAAGGATTTTCTCCCACTGACAAATGTACATCTGGGCTTTAATGGGCCTTCAGATAGCCCTCTGAAAGCACAATGCTTTATAAATGCAATTGTTGCTAGACATTAGAAACTGATAAAGAGTGAGCATAATCTTGGAACATGCATGTGGCATGTATACATGTTTTAAGTGCACAGATATTTACAACTTGCTAAAGCTGATTTCTGAGTTTATTTGAAACTTCTACTGAAATCTCAGTAATTTTAACAAACATTCAGTAACCACCAATGAATAGCTTAGAACTTAATCTGAAATCTGTGGCTCACGTACTTCAAAAAGAAATAAATTAGAGATAGGCAATATGTTTCCATGTTAGTGTTTATTATTTTTATCTATTATTATTTTGCTACTGAAAGTTCATTATAGCTCCATATTTTGTAAGTGAACGCTTTATTTCTTAAAGGGAAGCCCCTTTCCTTAAAGAATGTCACTCTCTCCTTAGGAAAGGGCAAGCAATAATCCAAAGGACAAGACTGTTATCTCAAAATCAGAGCAGCCCCATAAAGTTGCCTAGCTGACTTAACAAAATATAATTTAGGAAAAAACAATTCCTTTCCCTGTCATCCATTGCTTTAGATAAAATGAAAAGCAAACTAATGTTTTTCAAAGATTCAGTTGCACTATTAAAAATTGTTTTTAAGATCTCTGGATTAAAACTGTATTTATATATTGCACAGGTAGTCTTCGATTTACAGCCACAAGCAGAATTTCCATTGCTAACCAAGGCAGTGAATCATGCCTGATTTTATAACCTTTTCCCATGGTTGTTAAGCAAATCACTGCAGTTAAGTGAATCACATGGCTGTTAAGTGAATCTATCTTTCTCCATTGACTTTGCTAGTCAGAAGCTGGCTGGGAAGATTGCAAATGGCAGTCATATAACCCAAGGACGTGCAACTATCATAAATGCATGCTGGTTACCAAGAGCCCGAATTTTGATCGCAGGACCACAGGGAGGCTGTGACAGTCCAAAGTGCAAAGACTGTCTTTTTCAGTTCCGCTGAAACAGCCACTGAATGAATGGTTGTAAGTTAAGAGCTACCTGTAATGAAACTGTATTTAAGACCTCTATTGATCTTAAAAATTAATTTTACAATTGTCATGTTAAAAGTTTACCCTATTTAAAGAAGTCATATTTGTGTTAGTTCAGAATATTGTGTCTGATATTAAGCAGAATCTGAGTTTTATATAAAGAATGTGTGCAAAGGAAAAGCTCACAGGAAGAGCTGAAAGCAAAATGTAATTAGTATCCTTCAAGTTACATAGGCACACATAAAAGCTACAAGTATTACCCAAGAAAGAAGCACCACAAACATCAGCATTTATTCATTTTTAACTTTTTAGCAAAAATGACAAAATACCTAAGCTCAATAGTTTAAATTTATTAGCTTAGGCTTAAACATTACAACATTTTTGCAATCATGCAAAAACTAAAAAAACATCCTTAATTTGTTTAAACCAGAAATGCACCATCAGTAACATGTTAACATTATTCACTACTAAATGCTAAATGCTTGAAATTAAATTTGCCTCAGAAATGTTAACTTCACAGTAAAGTATTAATTGGCTCACATGTCAACACCTAAGAACAAAAAAAAATAGCAAAAAGCAAGATTCATGCTAATACTAGCGTACAATTTGTCCCTAACAATAAAGTAGGGTAAATGTTTACCTAGAATCATGTTTAATATAAAGCAAAGTGCATACAGAAATTTACAACAATTTTTAAGGACAAAAAATGGTCCTATTCATGTGGTCCCAGCAATTTAAACACAAAAAGTCTGACATACGAGCTCCGATGAGCCATTTTTAAATACTTTACGTATAGTATAATGAAAGAGTTCGTCTGAAATCTTCAAAAAATGTTCCTGTTAATCCGCAAAGGATGCTTGTTATAACATAAAATTTCTGTTAAATGCGTGCGATGAATTACTTGTTATCCAAGGGTAGCAGCTGCTCCTTACCATTTATTGTTAAAGACTTTAACAGGCCATCTTCTTCAACTTCTACTCTCTCTTGTCCATTCTCAACAATTCTGCAGGACAGAAATCCACGGAAGAGCATGGGTGTTGGTTTTTGTTTTTTTAAACAGTAAAAATATAACCTAGAGATCTTACCCATAGTGATTTACTATAAGATGCTACCTTATAGCAGCACACTACATTGGAAAACGTCATTTTACCCACATGTTTGAAACAATTAATTCTCCAGTTGTCAAAACCCTTGCAAGATTCTTTAGCTGAGCTGCCTTTTTAACTAGGATTTTGAGTTGGATCAGATACACTATGTGTCTTTTCCTTTATGATGCATATCTTAGGCACTTTAACCACAGGGATGCCAACTTAATTTAGACTTATCCCCAGGATAAAAAACACAACAACTTAAGAACAATGAGTCAAACCTTACTGAAATAAATAGTTGCTATATTCTAGTTTTGTTTTGAATGGAAAGAAATGGTATTAACAACTTGTTAACAAATTTAAATTTAAATCTAAGTCACTGTACCTCTTTGTAGTGATTTTTCTGCCGTTAACTATTTTAGTTGAAGTCGATACAGATTTGAAATTACCCATTCCACTACCACCAAATGATGTGGAGGAGAATGAAGTAAGGCCTCCATGGCCAAGAGAACCAAATGAAGTGAAACCTGCTAAGAAAGAAAAAGTGACAAAATGTATTTGGCCAAAGCATACACCTGCTTTTAGATTAATGGACAGATTAATGTTTTATTTAAGACCATATTTGTTCACCAACATTGAGAAATATTAAATAACACTACATGTTCTGAATACATTCAAAATACCAAATACTGTTTTACATTTTTGAAGGGCTAGAAACATATGAAAACATATGGAAATTCAAATATTGCCGGTTCCTGTGCTTGACAAAGCTGCCAAATGGTATAAATCAATAATATTTTTGAGCACCAAAGGCTCTTCAACCTTGAAATAAATATGAAAAGCTGAAATCACTGGATCCATCTAAGCAACTCCTGCTCTCTTTTCCTATAATTCTAGCTTGCGTCAATGGTGTCCAAAGCAGAATCACATTTTGCAGGTTTGCAGGGTATAAACCTTTGAGAATTGTCCACATTTCAATGTCTACATTGTAATTAAATTCATCCTACCTGTATCAAAGGAAGAAAAACCGCCCCCAAAGGCAGGAAATCCACTGAAGGCAGAGAAAAACGAACCACCGCCTCGGCTTCTGTTTCCACGTGACCCTCTTCTATTGCCAAAAAAATCCTCAAAAGGATCTTCTGCAAACAAAATTAAAAAGTTTCAAATTAACCAGAATTTCTGTAATAATTAAACAAAATGGTTTTTAAAAATTTAATAATGGACATTTAAATATCAAGATATATCTCCAGCGTAATCTATTTCGATCTTTGATAAAGGAGCATATAATTGTCACATAAAGATTTTAATGCTACATTATACTCATGTATATAAAAGTATAATTCATAATTTTCTAATTTAGTAATTTTTCTAATAAAAGAAAGAAAACAGCAACCTGTGGAAAAGTAAGACATTTGTGTTTCACTGCCCATTTCAACTACGTTCTTTTGTAGGTTTAGGAACTTGGGAACCTGAACAAAAGCTGCAGTAATGAAGAACCTAAATCTGTTCTATTAGCCTGATTAACGAGGTTTTAACCAGATAAATATTAAGAAACCTGCACAAAAATATAAAAATCAGTAAATGAAATAATAAAAACCTTATAAGCATTACTTATTTCTCTTTAGAAATTTAACATTATCTGACAGCAAAGTGTAAGTTATTAATCCAAATATTTCATCTTCATTAGTCTTAAAATCATTACCATTTTGTCACCTTATGACATATATTTGATCCCGATACTTTAAAACTGTATAAATGAATATATGCAAAACATTATCACAATAAGACACTTTAAACAATGCAGTCTTCAATATTTAATTGAAGAATGACTGTGTCGCAGAACTTTATAATCAATATATCAATGTATATAGTCTAAGACCTCCACAGAACCCAAAATACCACTATCTAGGTAGAGATAAATAGATATATGAGTTTATTTGAAAAACTTTGAAAATAATTTGTTCAACATAATCTAGATCAAAGGACTTCAGGTAACCCTAGAACTTCCAAGCTTCCATATTGCCAAACAGCTTCTTTGTAAAACACATCAATTTTTGAAAAAAAGAGAGAGGAATGGGAACAACAAGACATTCTTCTGCTATAATTGTATAGGATCATGTTGAAACCCTAAAACTGTAAGTAGAGTTCAACATGTCCTTAAGATTTAGCTGTTTATTATTATATTTTTAAAATCTATCTGAAGAAGAGACTATCTGAAATATATTTATGGGTATTATACTTGTCTTTAAAACTGTTTTAAAGTGTATCTCATCAAATATTCAGAATGACTTCAAGATGTTAAATACATCTAAATCACATGTTTAAAATTTGGTTCTGAACGGTCCCTAGATGAATTATGTAATTTAAAAACTAATAACAGGGAAAATAGTTATTGCAATTGGTGGATCCTTAAGAGTAAGAATTCCACAGGTAGGTTGCTCTTGTTTTTTCTTCCTTAAGAAACTGTTTTACACGTATAAACAGTATGCATATAAAGATTAGAACTATTTACAATGGGTTTTTTTACTTCAATTATATTATAGTTACATAAACATTCAAATGATGTGACTCTAGTTTCATCCATCTAAAAGGACAAAATAAATCAGTAACTTCTAGATATACCTACCCTGGCAGCTAAATTTTTAATATTTAATGCTTCAAACCAAAGTACATGGATTTGTATTTATACTTTTTTATGAAAGACTTCAACCTCCAGCCCTTTTAACTCAACAAATACTTTCAAGTGGATCTTCTTGACTTCAGGTCAATCATCCCAACCATTATATCCAACTAATTTTCATTTTCATGAAACTGCCTTTTACATAAAGGAAAACAGTACATATTCATTTCACTTTCATATTTGTACATACAAGTTTCTTAAGATAACATTCTGCTATGCTTCCCAAGGACCAACAGCTTCACTGAAAAATTAAAGGGATGTCTTCAACCATAAAAGATACGAGAATCAATCTGCATTAATACCTTAAACTATAACTACTAGAAGAAGATTTGGCTTTCTTTAATGACTAGCACTATTTTAGTATATTTCCAACACCACCAATAGCTTAAGAATCTTTTAAATAAAATACCATTCCTGTAACAAGAATCTTCGTATATTAAAGTTCAGTATATTATCAGGTAAAAGCCACTGGTGTAGCTGCCTAATTTATTACATTGACTCATGAACAAAGTATGAAGGTCACTTGTGTGCCCATGAACTATATTATATTACTGCTCACTATTATGGATCTATAAATAGACATTTTTTTCCAAGTTACCTGATGTTTATTTTTTCAATTCAGGTTTTGTTTTTACTATGAATATGACTTCAGAGTGTCTAAAATAGTCCTAGGGAAAATCAGGAGTTTAAATAATTCTTCAATTATAGAATCACATTTAGTTGTATGCAATTAATTTCATCTGTATTTTGTATCTAAGAATCCAGAAACTCAAGTTACACTGCCTAATTTTTCTATAATGAAATCTCTTAATAAACCATGTTGACTTAAAACTGTATATACAGCAAAGTAACCTACTCAAACTGATAATCTCTAGATTTACTAAGAAAATTTTCCGTTTTAAAAATCTTCAATAAAGAATCAAACCGAAATGAAGTCATTGATTTATTCAGATTGTTTATATAACATTTCCCTTTTAATTTTGTCCATCAGCACTTAAAAGGAAATATACATTGTCTCCAGCTGCACCCATTAGCTTCACTCAAGTATATTCAGACATGAAGATGCTTCTAAAGTGCCATGTGAATCTTTGCTGACCTTTAATATATAAAAAAGTTTGCACTGAATAGAACTCAATGATTTTAGAATGCTAATAAAAAGCATCATTTCTTTTTGTTCATTTCTATGGCCATCCATCTCAGTTAATAACTTAATTTATCGTAGCCAGCATCTTTATTTTATAGTTTCATTTTGTATTTCAATATTATGAAAATATTATATATGAACATGTTAAAGAGCCAATTATGCTCTTTGAAGAATTAAAGAACTTTTATTCTTTTGTTTATTTACAAAGAAAAAGAGTAATAATTTGGTATCTGTTAGCAAAAGAATAGGATGAACGTGAGACTCATCCCAAGAATCCCAATTAATTAAGGGAAGACTAATTTGTATCTCCAGCATGTTTCAAGAGCTATTTGCTTGTTAACGTCCAAGCTTGGTAAGGGTTAAAATTATATTTTCTGACTGCTTGTAACAACAAAGCTTTTGTATCATTAATAGATTTATTCTGTTAACTTTTCTGAACAAGTAATTATAGGCGTTCTCAGAAAAATGAATCAAGTAGGTTTCTGGTACATCTACACAAGGCAGCTAATTTAATATTCGGGGTGTTCTTATTTCTTTGAAAAGGCTTTTAAAAACACGTGTAGTTGAGCTTCAAATTTGTACATTTTTTTCTCTCGTTTTAAAATGACTAGTTACAGTATCATGATCATAAAACACACTTTTGGGTTCTGCTAATTGGAATTCATCAGTGACTCTAAAAGCTCTCAAAGCTACTAAAAGTTTCTGATAATGTTCAAACTGCATTTAAATTTAGCTCCAGTTAACACAATTGTTTTGACTTTTTTTTATACCAAGTAAGTATCCTTCAGAGAAGTGAAGAGACATTTCAGATAGCTTAAAATAGAATTTATTAACATAAAGGCTTTTATTTAGTAAAATTCCTCCAATTCTGATCCTACACTTATTTCTTCTTCCAGCTCCTCCACGGTTATACTGCTAGGCTCTTCTACCCAGTCTTCTGACCCTAAACTCACTTCTTCCTCCTCTAAGGACTCGTCTGCTCCTTCAGAAAAGTCCTCTTCCTCCACTAGCACATCGTCCAGCTCAAAAGATCCTTCAAATTCTTCAAATGCCTCAAGAGAATCTTCACCATACTCCTCATATAGCTCTTCCTCCAGCTCCTCTGCCATTTCTCCTATCGACTCATAGCTATACTCTTCCAAAAGCTCCTCTATAGACCTTTCTTCTGATCCTTCATTACTAGAATCCTCTGGCAGCCAACTGATAAGCAATGAGCAGGTGTCTGAGAAAAGTACCAATTGTAGTTCAGTAATTACATAAAAGATGTTTGCCACTGAATAATGCAAGTCCCCAAGTACATTCTTAAAAACTTACCTCCCAAGAATTTAAATATATTACTTTGAGAAGCTTAGCAGGATAATACTGTCAGATTTATCAGTGAATAAAAGTTTCATTTCAATGGAAGACCAAGCTCAGTGCTTGTTCTTTAGGAAAGAAGAATGTTAGTTAAATATTTCTGTCTACTCTCTGAAGATATGAGCACCCCCACACATCGCTGTTTAAGAGTTCTTTTTTATACTTAAAATGTAATACTAGTTATCTTATTAAATTCAGATTTATCACCAAAAATGCCCTTGGCTTTTTGGATATTTTCAAAACTCATTTTCTAATACCAGGATATCAGCTATTGAATAAATGGGATAAAAAGACAATTTTATAATTCATAGTTACCAATTAAGTTACAACTATTCTTTAAACATATTCATTTCCATGTTTATTCCTACTGTATACAGGAAATGAATTCTGGGGGAGCAATTTCTCCAAAAATAGATCCATGCCATTGGAAAGAAGAAAAAGAACTTCATGTTTATTATATTTAGGATACGGGGGGGGGGAATCACCTTTTCCCAAGCAGTCCCAAAATAGAGCAAAAATTCAAGCAGTATATTTCAGTCAAGATCAAAAGATGTAACTAAAATTAACAGAGGCGCACAATCTTGTTCAACTTAAAAGCTTCAGCCATCAGGGTTCCCCGTAGGTAGGACTTTAAGAATGATTAATTTTAACCAGATAAAATTATTACTTCTTATATATTTCATAAAAATACATTTAAATAAATTTTGAAGAGGTCCTAGATGAAGGTCAAACCATAAGTTGAGAGTCTATTATGTGCACTAAAAGCCCAAAAGTTACAGCTTCATTTGGACACCGAAACAAATCCAGCAACCGAAACATTTTATATAAGAACTATTTTTTTTAATTTTATTTATTTATTGATTTATATTCCACCTTTATTATTTTTATAAATAACTTAAGGCAGTAAACATACCCAATACTCTTTCCTCCTCCCATTTTCCCTGAATATCTGGCCATTGAAACAACTAGGTTGCTATATTTTATATTATCAGAAATTTTTGAATTTTCTTTAAATTCAGCCTACTGTCATTGTCTCTTTTCAGTGCAATCTAAGACTTGCAGCCTTAGGTAATAAAAGGCATTCCTATCAAAACCAAATAAAATTTCAGTTAGTCTTAGATCACAGCTATTTCAAAATCACAGACAGAGACTTCATAGAGAATGAATGCTTTAAAGAACAGCTCAGACAAATCTACCCATGACCTCTATCCACAGAACTTAATCCCTTTAATTTTAACTTCTATATCCTTGCCCACCTCAAAACAGTTACTAAACTTTTTATTTTTAAGTTCTACAGCCTCTCTGCAATTATTAGGTGAAAATGAGAGGTAGTTATATGTTCCCTGTATTTTAGGGTACCTTTAGCCCAAAGTTCTCAGGGCCAACTCCAGACATTAAAATAGAAATTCTCTTATATAAGTAAACATTTTCTGCCTAGAAGGACAAAAAGTCAAACTATACAAACCTATCCTGACTAGGTAACACATAAATAATTCAGTTGATCATATCTACAATTGAAAAAAATCAGAAAAAAAATCTGCAATTGCACTCTTTAGTATATTATCCAATATATTATCACAGCAAACAAGATTTTTATATACCAACCCCAAAACAGAAGATTCCACTTAAATTTTCTGAAAATAACACTCTCCACTTCATTTAAGCATTAACTTTTCCCAAAGTCTACCTAGCAAAACCATATCTGCTGAATTTTAATAGCAAGGTAAGGGGGAAAAAATCTACAAACAGCAAGTGTCCTCCAATCTCCAAGCAGCATTTCAATATCTCTGCATGGCACAGAATGAGAAATCCATTGATGAAGATTGACTGATGTTCTGGCTATATGTGTCTACAATAAAATGATGTCATTTCATTCAATTATGAACTGCAATGCTTAACTGTCACAATGTCTTGCTCTAGTTAGGAAAATTTGGTAGTTACTGGGAAATTTTTTCTCTTGTCTATAACCCGCTGAAACCAAATCCATTCAAATCAGCCTGTGTGGTTTAGGGAAAATTCTTTCTGCATCTTGATTAAAAGCAACTGTACAATTGTCACATTTCTGGTTCTTTTATACTGTGGTCCTTTGTTAAAAAATGTTAAGCATATTCTTAGCAGAATGAATGCCAACTAGACAGAAAATAGGCAAATAGCCATGATAACTAATGCATATAAGCATATCACAACATATAAGAGATTTTTTTTCTTTTTATGACCCTGTAATCCCTTACTTCAGGGTGGAGTCTGGGCAACTGAATGGAGCTGAGAGTTTACTGGCTGGATGCCCTTCCTGACACCTATGTGGAGTTCCCAGCAGATATTTTCTCTTTGCGTCCTGTTAGAGAAACATCTGTCGCAGCCTAGGATTAATTCTCAACCTTCCAAGTGGGAGGCCAGCGCTTTCACCTCTTGGCTACTGCACCAATATAAAGGGGGAATGAAGGATGTGGTTTGCTATTGATTTCAAACTGAGTGAAAAAGTTGAACTCATTCTAATTTCATCTGCACTGGAAAGCATTAGAAGGTGCATCTAAAATCTTAAAATATATCTATACAACTATTAAAAATGGGAGCTATTTAAGTAATGAAACAGCTTGTCTCCTGAAGTAATGGCAATTATCAAGAAAAATAGGATAACTATATATTCAGGATGATATGTGGTTTCCTATCCTGGGTATTGAGACTAGAAGATCTCCAAGGTTCTTTTCAGCATTGTGATTCTATGAATTAATCAATTTCAAGGACACCATCAAAAGAAATTAATTCCGAAATATTTTAAAGGATTATACAGCTATAGGCCATGATTTATTGTACAGATCTTCAGCACTCCAAAGTATCCAAAGAAACCAAATCAGATTTTGAACATATTGAGAGTATCTTTTTGCCTACATACATGGAAAACCAGAGGATTAGAAGCCGTAAGTATGAGAATTCTTAAAAGTAGGGGGGAAAGTGAAAATTTTAGTATTGACACACTCAAATTTAATTTAAAAGTACTCACCAAAGAAATCAAAAGAAAATGGATCTCCCCCACCGAAGAACTCCTTAAAGACATCCTCAGGATTCCGGAATGTAAAACCATATTCAAATGGACTGTCAAAATGACTTCCACCTATAAAAAGAGTATTCAATATTCCATTTTCCAGAATATTAAAACATTTCTTATATAATTTAGCAAGAGCACCATTTTAATAACAAATTGTAATAATTGTATTTCTTGAATTTTTGTCATTTTATCAAACGCAGCATAGCATGTGATCTTATTTTTCTTTCTCAAAATCCTTCCCAGATTAGAGATAAGATGTAAGGATTTTAATTAGATGTAGCCATAGAGTAGATTTGTCCTACGCAAATCAGTACACACATCTATTAAAATCCATTGATAGACTGACTGTTCCGCAAACATCTAGCATTTTAAATTAATTTTAATGAAGAATTTTACACACAAAAAAAATTTAAAAAGTGATAAAAGAAAAAAGAGAAAAGGAAGAAAATAAGATATAAAGAAGCAGATTCCAATTTTCTTTATTGCAATTATCTTATCAGTTATTCTATCTTCTCACTCTTTCCATATTTTATCCTTTCTAATTATCAAAGCTATGTGGTTTTACATTTACATTAAAAGAAACAGGAGCAGCATAATTAAATCCTTACATACCTCCACTTGGATTTAACCCTTCTTTTCCATATTTATCATAGATATCCCGCTTTTTAGCTGCAAAGAAGAGGAAGTATAAATCCAAGACAAACTATTTTGATGATCTTATGTTTGCTCTGTTCTACGGATTTCCCTCTAAACACCTCCAAACATAGCAATCCTATTCAGCAACATTCCCTGACTTTTAAAAGACCAGGTTGAGGATACAAAGGAAAAAGAGAAGACAAGCCAGTCTCTTCTTGAGTACTTTTTTTTAAAATCAATCTCTGGTATTTGCCGTAAGTCTGAAGATTATGAAAAAGCTATAGGGAATGTATTATAATGACATCAAGATATAATTCTTAAGTAGAATGAAATATGTAACAAAACTGATATCTTTCTCTGAATAAATAATTTGACTCTTGGTTATGAACCAAAATACTATTTCTTCTTAAATTCAGTCAAAAGTTAGCAAAATCTATGACAGGCTGAGGAAGGGTTTCCTCAATCTCACAACCGCATACTATCATTTTTTCAGGACCTATAAATTAACAATATGACAGAAGTTTTTAAATCTTTTGTCATCACACCTCCCTTTAGAATTTTAGAAAGAGCCGGCATAGTCATACTCCACTCAGTATCAAGGATGCAGCTGTAGAGGTGGTCGATAGTATTAAGTATCTGGGGGTGCAGATAACTAACAATCTGAATTGGTCTCTCCACACCTCATCCTTAGTGAAGCGTGCAAAACCAGCACCTGCATTTCCTGCGTTGGATGAAGGGAGCACATCTTTCTCCTTCTGTCCTGGCCACTTTTTACAGAGGCACGATTGAGAGCATTTTAACAAATTCATCACTGTCTGGTTTGGTGGTAGCAGTGCCTCAGATAGAAAGTCCATACAGAGATCATAGGAAGCTCGCTCCCTTATAAGTGCTATGTGCTTAGAGCTCAAAGCACTGTTAGAGACCCCACACACCCACTTTATGGCTTTGTTCCTTATGCCATCCGTCTGGTAAACTCGCAAGGTTCATTTTTCTCGCTATGCACATGTATACATAACTCGAACTAGACTGTTGTTTCTCTGTGTCATATAATATATGTGGGTATATGCATAAATTTGTATTTATTCATTTCTTTTTGTCATATTTATGTAGTGTATATTGGAGGTGGTGACCCTTTCAGAACTGTATGCAACGAAATTTCATCTTAATGTATGCCGATTAGTGTACATTCAAAGCGACAATAAAGATATTATTCTGTTCTATTATTCTATTCTTTAGTGCAGGGCTTTTCAACCTTTTCACCCATTGTACCACTTTTAGGATATGGCAACATCCGAGTACCACCAGTTGCCTAGCAAGGTGTCAAAAACTTGATGACCAAAAACAAAAAAAGGAAAAAAGTGATGAAGTATAGGTAGTCCTCGACTTACAACAGTTCACTTAGTGACTGTTTGAAGTTACAATGGCATTGAAAAAAGTGCCCTCCAAGCCACAGCCGAGCAAGACACCTGCCTGCCCACCTGGCAGCGCTCTTCCTCCTGTCCGAGGTTTTCATTGTTTGAGCATTTCTGTTGAGGATTGGCAGCGGGGGTGGGGGGTGTTTGGTCTTTATCCCCCCCCCCCCGTCTGCTGGGTGGTTGCAGCAGGTTTTGGTCACTTTACATGACCCTGGGACACTGTGACCGTCATAAATATGAATCGGTTGCCAAGCATCTGAATGTAAATCACAAGACCCTGGAGATGCTGCAACATTTCAGCTGATCAGCGTTTCTTCTAGGCTCAGCAGAAGCACCAGGATCAGCGCAGAGCTCCCGCTGGAGCCTGGCGCTGATCCTGGCACTTCCACTGAGTCCTGACAGCCCTGCAGCTCCAGCCATCTCTCGCTCAGGTTTGTGCGGTGCTGCCACTGGTTCAGCTCATTCCCCTCCCCCACTTTTCTGGGATGGTCGCGTACCACCACTTTTCTGGGATGGTCGCATACCACCTGCCAGGTGCCAATGTACAACAAGTGGTACCCGTACCACTGGTTGAAAAGTCCTGCTTTAGTGTATTGTTCGAACTTACAATGGAACAATATGGCACTTATGACCAGACCTTGACATTCTATCTGACACAGCGCCCTGCAGTCCCATGCTCACCATTTGCAATCTTTCCTATCATTTTCCCACAAGCAAAGTCAATGGAGAAGACTGCAGGAAATCAGAAGTCATGGTCATATCAGGTGCTCGCTTAACAACCTGCAGTGATTTGTTTAATAGTAACTGGGGACTGCCAGAACTTCCATATGGAAGTGGCATAGTCACATAATGTCACATTGTATGACTATGTTGCTTAGCGATAGAAATTCTAGTCCCAGTTACCATCATTAATCAAGGACTACCTGCAATCTTAATTTATACATCTCCCCTAAAAATCCAAGCATCAAAATGATATGAAAAGGATACAATGAAACTTCGGGAAACATAGATTTATTGCAACAATGTACAACTAAAAGGTTCTTCACACCTTCTCTTGCTCTGTCTGCACCTCACCAAGGGAGATTATACTTTGGGAAACCCTAGCACAAGGGTTCCCAACCGGGGGTGCTTACATCCCCTGGGGGTGTGAGACAATATTCCAGGGGGTGCAAAAGCTTGGGTTTAGAAGTTTCAAAATTATAGTGAATATGTACAATTCGTTGCCATTATTTCAAACTTTTGTAAGGGGTGCAAGAATATATCAGAGGCATTCTAGGGATGAGGGGCATAGAAAAGTTTGGGAATCACTGCCCTAACATATGATAAAGAACAAAACATTTGCCAAAAATCTCAAGTGACATATTGGTGGGAAGGGAGAGTGTAATTAGATCGAGCTGCTCATCTTGGCCTAATTTATATAATTTACATTACAGGTAGTTCTCAACTTACAACCACAACTGAGCTGAACATTTCTGTTGTTAAGTGAAACATTTGTTAACTGAATTTTGCCCCATTTTATACCCTAATTCGCCACAGTTAAGTGAATCACAGCAGTTGATAAGTTAGTAACCCAGTTGTTAAGTGACTCTTTCCCCCATTGCTTGTCAGAACGTCGCAAAAGGAGATCACATGACCTTGGGACACAGCAACAGTCATAAATATGAACCAATTGCCAAGCATTTGAATTTTGATTATATGATCATGGGGATGCTGCAAAGATCGTAATTGTGAAAAACAGTCATAAGTCACATTTTTCAGTGCTACTGTAACTTTGAATGGTCACTAAATGAACTGTTATAAGTCGAGAACTACCTGTATTTAAATACAAACTGAAATTGATTACTGAAATGATATAAATTATCTTTCCCTTAAATACTCCACCTGCTCTTCATTTTACCAGCACCTTTTCCTTCCCTCTCCACAGCTGCTGTGTACAATTATCCAGCGCAGCACATCTCTGTTTTTTCAAGGAAAATCCAGAGGAGGAGAACATTTCTACCCAGTCCAGTGTTACAGAATCTCTTTGACATTCTGAGACTAAATATATGTTCAATAGTTTTAGTTCTAACTGCCACACGGATGTGGCATTCTTTCATATTATTACTTACTATCTGACAGGACTTCATAAGCTTCAGCAACTTGCTTGAATTGTCGCTCAGCTTCCTCTTTATTATCTGGATTTTTGTCAGGGTGCCATTTTAATGCTAGTTTACGGTATCTGAAATCAAAACCAAAGATACTTTATTCAAAAACAACACTGCATAAAAAAAATAACAAAAGAATAAGCTAGCCTGATGAACTAAGAATTTTTAACATTTTAAACATTGATAGACATACTAATTGCTAATGTTAATTTCCTAATGCATGATAAATATAATAATTTGCTCCTAATGAATTGCTCAAGCTTGAGAGATTTATCCTGACCCATTGTAGCATTTTGCAAGAACTAATCTAAGAAGGATAAAACATCTGGATGGGCTGCACTGCACAATAGAAGGAGATAGAGGGGAAAGGCAGTAGAGAAAATTCACAGGGGTTCTAAATCCCATAAACAGAATATGTGAAAAAGTACAAAACCTTAATTATTAAGTTGTTTAATTAAAATCTCATCCATACTCTGCAGTTCTAGATACTGCCATATTATAAGAATTGTACTATTAACTATTTATCCTATTTTATCAATCTATAACTGAATCATAGGAATGATTAGGAAATTAGAATTACCCATCAATTTCTTAATTTAGAAGTCACAGCAAACGGATCAATAAAGTTGTCCCAATTCTAGGGAGTAATTTTTGTAAGATCAATGTTTATTCTTAATGTAAGTTCCTGACATATGATTTTTTTTTCTGTAGCCACATTTGTTTGTATGTTTTAAAAAACTTCTGCTTTAAACAGTCTTTTGCAGTTAATAAATATCTGGCTGAGCGACCAACCATAATTTCAATTATAAGCTTTAATTCTAGGTAAACATACAAATAAGCACCCCAAGCATTAGTAAAGGAAGCATGGGAAGACTGTTTATAGACACCCCATTTTATGTGGTTTAAAGCCTCCCTCAAAAAATGGCTAATGCAAGGAATATAATATAACCTGCCATAGCTTTAAAATGGGTACTTACGCTTTTTTAATGTCTTCCTGTGAGGCATGCTTATGCACTCCTAGAACTTCATAATAGTCCACCATGTTTTATTGCGTTCGGATAAGAATCCTGTAAAATCAAGACTTCATTTCAATATAAAAACACAAATTTCTCTTAAAAGGTATGATGCACAGTATGAAAATATGGATTGTTAAATCACTGCCACACAAAAAAAATCCTTGTAGGAAAAGAGCCTTGGACTGGTTTCCATGGAGGGCAGTTTTTCCACAGATGGGGGGGGCATGGTTTCGTGCACTGTCTGGCGCATGTGCATGCAGAGACAGGGCTTCAGTTGCATGTGCGGCCCAGTTGCTGCTGGGCCATGGCCCGGTTTCCAGTCCAAGGCCCGGATGTTGGGAACTCCTGGTCTAGATGACAAAATAGTCAGCATATTTTTGAATAACAAAACTGTTTTTAATAAAGTTTTTTAATCAGGTAAGATAGTATCTGAGTCTTAACTTTTGCCAAAAAATTTGGGTAGGCTAAACCAAACAACTGTTTTGCAATACATCTGAAATATTTTTTATTCCATCAAAACTACAAAGATTTTTATATCAAGGTTGTTGTGGGGAAAATAGCAAGAAGAATTATTAGGTATGTTCATTGACTTTGAATTATTTATAAAGTAATAAAAGCAGGATAAAACGTTAATAAATTAATAAATAATAAAACAGCAAAGAATTAAACGTATTGTGCTTTTGAGTCAGTTTTTATCTAGTTCTTGTGGGAAATTATTTGATATTAAAGTCTTATGGCACCTTAACAAATTAAGAATACTATAAACGCTTAAACTAATGAAAACTATAGAGTGGAAATAGAGGATGTTGGTATGCAGCAGTACTGACATAAAAGTTATATAATGAAGACAAAATTTAAAAGAATTTTAAAATTCCACCCAACAGCTTAAAACAACTATTCTTAAAACAAACTATATTGGAGAAACTTTGCTGTTGAATTAGAATTGAGTTTTATTGCTCAGGAAGTACAGGAGAATATTATGTGTATGCATCAGGATTCAAAAATCTATTTGCAGAAGCAATTTGAATATGGAAAGTTAGAAAGAGATTCTATCGGTTCTCCTCTTCCTGTGGCTCTACATACCTATCTCAGGAATATATATCCCTGCACCTTTTCCCACATTCTCTATTCTGACTAGAAAACCTGAGAGCAAAGGAAGAATGTATTATTGTTGCCAACTAACCACTGCAGTATAGAAAGAAAAGGGATGGGGAGTAAAAGAAAAATAAACTGACTTAAACAAAAATAATTCTGGGAAAAGTACCATCAAACGCATCCCGAAAGGTTGCACACTAAATATGCGGCCTGAAAGCAACCCCTCCTTTTGTGAGGGAGGGGGAATGTACCATTTTGTGGTGACTGAATGGATTAATCCCTGCAGTTTTCTTTGCACATTTTTCAGAAATGGCTTGCCTCTGCCTCCTTTCTAGTGTTGTGAGACATTCTTAAAGCTTATAATCACATCATTTCCAAGTGATGTGGCTAATTTGGAACTGGGTTTTGGTTATGCAGAAAGGCCACCAAACACTTAAAATGTGTGGACAATCCTGTAATACCCCTAATTATTGGGGGAGGGGGCTGTGTCCTCCCTCATTTATGCAATGTTTTTATGAGGAAAAGATCAACTGGAGAATTCCTGATGTTATTTTGCTGTCAGAGAACAAAACTCCACCTTCTCTCATGTCTTCCAGCAAGTGCAGAAGGTAAAAACTTATTTCATTTGCATAAAAATTAGGGTAGGAAAACAGCAGGAATGTACCCAACATGCTATGCTACAAGCTCCCATAAAAGTAAGAAAAGATATTCAAATCCCTTCTTTTACTCAGAAGAGAAATGTAAGATTGGTTCATAAAAAACGAAAAGCATAACTACAGGAAATGATATTGTGATTTATCCAAATGCATCCATTCACAATCTAATTACTTATGAAATAACTAGTTAACTATATAAAAATACAGGTATCCAAGTCAAACTTGACATTTGATTAGATTAGGAACATGGCATGTAGTTTTCTTGACAGCAATATGAAATTAATTTTAAGCTTCCAGCATTTCCCCCCAATACCTAAATATGGCTTGCCGACGTGTATGATTATTGCTTCAAGCAAGTATTAATATTGGAATAGATAATTGATAAATAAATCCGTATAAATCACTAACAAATAGCAGCTAAAGTTTTTGAGCTCAGCCAAGATTAATTAGGTGACACCTTATATCAAGCAATGTATTGTACCATTTAAAGCATTTAAATAACCCTTGTAAATAGTGATGTGCTTGAATAGTATTTATCTTGGAAAGGCTCAATGCATAAATAAACATTCTTCTGATATTACTTGGAAAGTATGCTAAAGACAGCATAAATAAGTTTTTCTAATTACAACACCGTCTTTTGAAAGATGTGAACAGCTGATTTCAATGAAACTAGATAGGCAATCTAGTTTCATTGAAATCAGCTGTTCACAAACATCTTTCAATAATGATTACATATTAGGAGCTATTGCTAATTAAGATACTGTATTAAATATGTCCTTAGTATTATATCAGAAGTTGGCAATTTGGTGGCCTCCAGATGGTCCAGATCTGATCAGTATAACTGATAGCAACAGATCTAAGGGGTGTTTGTGTGTGTGTTCTATTGTCAGAAAGGAAAATTCAAGGCTAAAACATATAAAGAACTTTGAGAGCAAGCAACTAAATTTCATTTTTAATGTGTGCCATTGTGCCCACAGTAAAAAATGACAATAAAGGTTATCTATCTATCTATCTATCTATCTATCATCCATCCATTATCTATCTATCTATCTATCTATGTATCTATCTATGTATCTATCTATGTATCTATCTATGTATCTATCTATGTATCTATCTATCTATGTATCTATCTATCTATCTCTATTTAGGGGGAGCCAGGAAATAGAAGGAATTAAAAAGCAAAATGGTGGTAAAGAATGGCTAGGGAACAGTATTCTACACAAAATATATATGGACATCTGGAAGGATGATATACTAAAAAATAGTAGCAACTGAAGGGAAAGAAGCAACACAGCAATGCAAAGGAATGACTTGTGCACAAATTGTTATTTACTTCTATTTCATCAAAATCAGACATGATTCACTGTTTCAAAAGTTATATGGCCAAAAGCAAAGGAGATATGAATATAAGGTTGCTTCAGAGCATACAGATTATTAATAACTATACAAATACCTGGTTCTGCAAATTCTATTGGTTCTGCCAATTCTATTTTCCATGGAATATTAGTTTACTAATTATTCCATTTAATTTTAAAATAACTCAGAATTATGAGCTGCTAACACATTTTCTAATATTACATCTAAGATTGAGAAAAGAGTATTGTATTGGTTGTGCCTTCCCTACCCTTCTGGAAATTCAATCTGCAAGAAACTATTTTTTTTCCCAGAACAGCATGGGAGAAGATATATATCCCTACTATAAAAGGTAATTATATCTTCTTAAATAAAAAGAAGGCTTTGATTGACCTAAGCTTCTTTAGTTAGCAGAAAGAAACTTCAGAATCTAGAATTTCATACTGTTTCTACCATGAATACCTTCACTATGAGATAATATCAATCACAAAGAATGCATAAAGTTTGTAAACCATGAAGATATTAGTGACAACTGCAAAGAGAAAAGGCCTCAGAGAAGACCTCCCGACCAATGCAGCTTTCAGACCGTCTTCAATAGCAACCTATATAAAGCACTACCCAAAATGAGAGGTGACTAACATGCTCCAGGAACAAGCACAATTAGAGCACAAGATAGAGTTGTGCAAAGACCTGCCTGACCACAAATGTCTTCTACTCCTTGAACTGGAACTGGGAACCCAGGAGGCTCCTCCAAGTGTGCACTGGTTTTGAGTGGGGTGCTGCAAACCCCTCCAGAAGCAAAGGTGAAAAAATCTCTAATTCCAGGTACAGGAGAGATAAAATCTCACAGCTTCCAGGACTCACTAGGACTGAGTTGAAGCACATTTTTCTCTATGCAAGCCCTTACAGCATCCAGACACAGAGACGAACTTGAGGGGATTATCTGAGTAGCCCAAGGCAAAGTTAGACAAATATGCTGAATATCATCAGCATATTTCATTCCATGTGGACAAATGACATCATTCAGCAGCTTTATGTAGGTACTAAACAAAGTATTATTTAGAACAGTTACTGTCAAGAATTATTAGACTGAATAGTGATGGATGTGTTTTTTAATACACAGGAACTCTCTTTTTTAGTACTTATACAGGTAGTCCTTGACTTACAACAGTTCATTTAGTGACCATTCAAAGTTACAATGGCACTAAAAAAGTGACAATCATTTTTCACACTTATGACCATTGCAGCATCCCCATCATCATATGATCAAAATTCAGACACTTGGAAACTAACTCATATATACTTATATGCTTGCAATGTCCTGGGGTCATATGATCCTTTTTTGCAACAATCTGACAAAGCAAAGTTGATGGGGAAGGCAAATTCACTTAATAACTATGTTACTAATTTAACAACTGCATTGATTCATTTAACAACTGTTGCAAGTAAGTCATAAAATGGGGCAAAATCCACTTAACAAATGTTTCACTTAGGAACAGAAATGTTCAGCTCAATTGTGGCTGTATGTCGAGGACTATCTGTATATTTTTTTCTTCCAGATTATTTACTAAGAAAATGGTAGTGTTAGGTGAAATATGTTAATATTACCTATAAAACAAATACCTAGCATTAAAACTCTTTAAATCTTGTCTACAAAATGTTTCCTTCCTACTTCAAGGAAATTTTAATGGCCAGCTATTCTTTCAATTTCTACCACTTAAATTTTAAAAGACAAATAATATTACTTTTAATAATTATGCGCATGATGTATAAGAAATCTGAGGCAAAATTAATTCTCATTTCAGCTAAAACCATTTACTGCTTTGGGGGGAAAAAGCTATCATAATGGTTCAATTTATAACAGTGTTATAGAATCATTTCTGGCTGTAAGCCTTCTTATAACAATAGAATTTTTTACAGTGAAGAACAAAAACTATCTCTGGCTAGAGTAAAAAGGATAAAGTTCCCTTCCCCCACTTCACTGGGCAAAGCACAGAACAGAAACACTGCTATCAGCAATAAATTCCACACACCATCATGGTTTATCTTTTTGAGACAGCACTGAATCCTTGTTGTGCTACTGAGGTCAGCAGCCTGTGGCATACAAATAAACTGAGCCACTATAAACTTTCCACTAACGTTACCTTCAAGGTGAAGTACTTCACTTAAAAACAAAGCAGTTGAAATAAAAAGTATCTCTTACTCCAAGCAGGAATACTACGGTATGTATTATTTTACCTGCGTCGACATCTTTTCCCTTGAAACAGACCTTTTTGGTTCCCTTAACACATTTATAAAGGATGATTTCTGAAGCTCTAGAGCAATATTTTCCAACCTATGCATCTTTAAGATGCGTGGACTTCAACTTCTAGAATTTTCCAGCCAGCAAATGCTCCACCATTTATTAGTAACTGGTTGTTAAATAAATTATGTATTTCTAATTAATTCACCATAGGTTGTTATACTGCCATTTTAATTATTCTTCCCGGCCATGCTTCGCCAATCCATCCTAATCTTCCAAGTCAGTATTTTTCAATTTTGGCGTCTTTAAGATGGGTGAACTTTAATCCCAGAATTTCCCACCACATGTTGGCTGGAGAATTCTCGGGTCTTAAAGGTGCCATGGCTATGAAACTCTGCTCTTGGCGGACTCCCCCACCTGCAGGCCGGCCCCTTGTGTGCTTCTGCGGTGCCCCCGTTTTTAGCCCCTGAGGCAAAAAGGCAACGCCGCGGAAAAGGGAAGAGAGACCGGCGAGAAAAGGGCCCGGAGTTCTAAGGCAGCACCCAAGATATAAGGAGGCCAGCGCCGGCCTTCTCCGACTTTCCCTACCGAAGGCAAGCAGGGACGTCATTAATGTACCCACCCTGTGTTTGCAGACGACCACTCCCCTCTTTTTCCCGGCGCGGGGCGCGTTTTGGCCAATCAGGAGAGAGCACGAGCCAAAGGAAAAAAGGCGGGGCGGGGAGGGGAACGCAAAACCCGTTGCTGAGAGACCCCAATTTTGCAGTGGTGGTGGTGCCGCCGGGGCCCTCACCCCCCCCTCGCGCGCGCGCGCGCTAAATTGCTGGTGACCCGTAACTGCTTTTCCCGCCTTGGCCACCTCCGCGCTCACCCGCTCGCTCCTCGTTCCTCCTTCGGGAACAAACGACAGCCGCCCTCCGCTCTTCTCTCCTCTCGAAGCTCGCTAGCCTTCCCGCTTTGGAAGCAGAAGCAGCAGCAGCAGCTCTTCCACAGCTTCTCTGGCAAGGCCGTGAACAGGAAGTGCGTCACACGCAGGCAGCGGAAGAACCCCCGTCCTTTATTGCCCAGCGTTTATAGAGCGAGGGAAAAAAAACGGAAGAGGGGTATATATAGCTGAGGACTTCCGGGACAAGGGTTTCCACCCCTTTCCGGGGAAACTCCCGAAAAGAGAGGGCCCGAGGCACCTATTCCCGGAATAACGCGCCCTTCTTAATCTCGGGCCGTGCCGCAGCTAAGCTACGAAGCGGCACGCTGGAGGTCAACTGAGAAGACCCCCTCCCTTCGGGCGGGGAAATGCGGATAACAGGGATGCTTGAACCTTCCTCCTCGTCTTATCTCTGCTTAGGCCTACAAGGAGGGAGGAGGGCTGCTACCTCGCTCTGCCCCTAGGATTCCACCCGCCACCGAAAGGAGGGGCTGAACTAGAAAGACGCCCACCGCTCTGGAGCCGGAACTTGTTTACGGGCTGTTCCTCGGTCTCAGCTATGAGGAAATCTGGGATTTCTTCCCGGCTTTGGAAGAGCGGCTCTCGCTTCCTCCTCGGGATGGCAACAAAGAAAGAGGGAGGGGGAAAGCAAGAGTGTCTTTCGATCAGGAAATTCCCCTGAAGTCATGGGGCGAGTCACTCTGTACTACGCATCTCTATGTAACTAACTTCCGGGAAAGGGAGGGAGGCACCCGCCGAGTAATTTCGTCATGGCCTCAACGTTCCGGAAGGTTCTAGAATAAATCGTCCGAATGTTTACACACACACACACACCCCAGCCTACTCTTGGGAAGTTAGTGCTGCGCTTGCCCCCTAGTGGCTGCCCCGAAATTAGCATCTCTCGCGCTGTGGAAATTTGTATTTTTTTTTTAATCATTTTTTAATTTTCTGTGCCTTTGAGGCAGGGTTGATTCACGGCGACTGCCTGGACTAATCCCTGCAGCTTTCTAGGGAAAACTTAATGGTTTGCCATTTGTTTCCTTCGTAGGGTTGAAGGCGGATGATTGGTTTAAGCAGCAGCAGATGCTTTCTAAAGATCCCCAGTATAGTTTGTAGCATTTTTCTTCAGAAAAAAATATGTAGAGAGAGAGTTGCTTTGGGCGATAAATAGCACAAGTGTTGTACTGTTTAATCTTTACTTTTGTAAGTTGGACAAATGACAAAAGTCACTGAAATAAATCAATACACAAAGAATGCAAATTACATAATTTGGCTCAGGTTGTGTCATTTGTGTAATTACAGCATTACAAACATGTTAATTACATTCTAAGTGAAGTCAGCTGCACTGAGGCCCAATAAACTGAAACTTGACTGTCTTCAGCTAAACAAGCCCCAAATAATATCTCTTAAAATGTTTTTAGTTTTTTTTCTGGAAATAGCAGACTGCTAATTAGTTTTCAAAAAAAAAAGTTCTGCAGTAGTGTAAGTACAAAAAAGCGATATTACTTGATACAACCAATGTAACTATGTTTTAGGCCAGGGCTTTTCAACCTTTTCACCCATTGTACCACTTTTAGGATATGGCAATATCCGAGTACCACCTAGCAAGGTGTCAAAAACTTGATGACCAAAAAAAAAAAAAAAGTGATAAAGTACAGGTAGTCCTCGACTTACAACAGTTCGCTTAGTGACTGTTCGAAGTTACAATGGCACTGAAAAAAGTGCCCCCCCAAGCCACAGCCGAGCAAGACACCTGCCTGCCTGCCTGCCTGCCTGCGCTCTCATTCCCCTCCCCCACTACTTTTCTAGGATGCTCACGTACCACCTGCCAGGTGCCAATGTACCACAGGTGGTACCCGTACCACTGGTTGAAAAGCCCTAATTTTAGGCCCTCCCAACTTAATTTCACCCTTTGCTTCTAATTCAATTGAATTTCTATACTAATAAAGTACACTGCACAATATAAAAGTTTAATTTATATTTTCAATTAACAGAATAGTTTTAAGCCAACAGAGGAACAGTTCTGAAAAAAGCTTTGAAATATTTAATGCTGTGGATTATAAAATAATACTTTAAAAATATTCAGAGTTTTCTTGTCAAGATATTGCAAGGCATTTTAGAAAAGGGTTATCTGAAACATATAGTTTATATATTTAAATGAACAAAGACAACTGTGAACAAAATAGAATTGTTGCAGTTAACATAAATGAAGCAGCTTGGAGCAAAACAAAAAAGAAAATTGTTTTATTTCTGTACAAGGAAACTACAAATAGCATTTTTAACACTTCATTTTGTATCCAAGTCATGAAATTATACATTTTTATACTAATACTAGCAAACATCTTCAAACCATTCAGATCCCTTCTGCACATTTAAAATATATTGCTGTTTACTGCTGATTAATAATTAAAAGTTAGGAGCTTCCTCAGCAGTAAAATTGCTTTTAAGTTTGGAGACCACCAGCTGAGGGTTCCCCCCAGCTCAATAGTTTAGAAGTCTCTTTCATTGCCTCAAAAGGACATAACTTGATTCTGCCAGTTAATGCTTTAGGAACCCAATTGTATCATTAAAAAAAAAACCTAAGAATTGCACATGACAAAGGTTGATTATGTGTGATTACCAATTCTTTTTACCTTAAATATTTCTCTTGGCAATCAAATGCAATCAAGTAGCCCCACCCCCTCATTCTCTGTCCTGTTGATAGAGCAAATAAAACATTTTTCACCAATTGCATTCCAGGTAGAGTAAATGAAAGAGAAAATGCAAACACCTGAAAGCTTTCAGCTGCAAAGAAGGAAGCCTGATTCTTTTATACAAATTTATTTTAATAGTTGTTACACAAATTCCTTTTCTACCATTTTACTTATTGTATATGTTAAAGTAATATGAATTTTTTAAAGCTACAAGCACGGAGAAGCAACGGAACAGATCAGAAAAAAACCAAGTACATTATTTGGAACAGTGTACAACTGATTGTGACACTGGCTAAGGGAATGACTGAAGAACAGGCATGCCTATTCAGGTAGATAAATATCTTTTTTTTAAAAGGCCAAAATAAATTTCTCAATGTCTCACTTTTACCTAATAAAATGAAAATATTTTTTTTCCAGTTGCAAATAAATTGCAAAAAATGGTAAAAAAAAATGTCTACCTCTTCAAAAGAGGTGGGGTTACTTGAGTTGCAGGCCAGTTTTCAAATAGTTTCTCTTCCCTCTCCAGGAACATCACCCTGTTTCTTCCCCATAAACTACTCCTGCAGGACGCTTTATTGCCACTTATAGTGGAATTATTTGTGTTCAAAACAGCACAAAGCCTTCATCTTTGGTTATTTTCTCGAAGATGTCGTTGTCCCAAAGGTGCTCTCTCTTGGAAAATTTAGCAACTGCTCCTTTAGAATCCGATCCAGAAAATCTCAGTGGGGTTTAAACTCCCAAAAAATGATAGCCAGTTAATGCCTCACATTAAAACGGAAACCTACTTGAGGATAATTCAACGGGAAAATGAGTTGGGAAAATTTACATGGACCTCTCTTAATCTGCTAGATGTGTGTGTGGGGGGGGGTGTGGGTGTGGCTTAAGGAATAGGCACTGATTACTTCCTCTGCAAAGCATTTGATCAGTTCAGTTCAACTCAGCTCAAATCCAGCAGCACATTCAATCGCGTAAAGCAGTTTGTTCCGCATAAGGTGTTCATCACAGAATTCTGGAAGCTTCAGCAAATTCATACAGGTACTGGCGGTGGGCAGTCGCTCCAAATCGGAGCCCCCGTTGTGAATGCAAAAAGCAGGGTACAATTCCTGTGTCCAGGGGAAAAAGATAAGGAAAAAAACAATGAGAATAAGTTTTAAAAATGACTTTCAGTGTGCCATCTCTGTGTGTTATTGTACTCATGACTCTAAAGGAGCATCTGAAGCTGGGAACGGTAATTGTCAAAAGATGTCACCTTCACTCTGGAGAACCAGCTAACCTTTTAATAATGAAAAGTTGGGGAAATGGGACATGATAAAAAAATGGTTTATTTTATTCTATCAAGCAGTTATTCAACAATGAAGTGGAAGGATAACTCACTAACAGGCAATACAAAAATCTTTAAAGAAAGAAACAAAGAAAATATTGTCTGTTTGTGTTCTGGCTAATACCCAACAATTTGAAGAACACAGAGGACTATATACTACAAATGTCAGCACAATAATACAAACAGGTTTTGACAGTACAGAGAACAGTTTATGTAAAGTTAAGGGAAAGCTTCTCTCATCGCTCAGCATACTTGCATCAACTATTTCTCAAAATAATTTTATCAAGGGCACAAACAAGAATGTTATGTCTGCACACAAAACCATCCCTAGACACACATATCCAAGATATGCCCAACATCACAGATGCTACATCAATATTAACCGCAGGGCAGGAGAATAGGAATGCCAAAAAAATTTCCAAAAAACTTTGTAGCTTGCTAGCAGGGGACCAGAGAGAAGGTCTGGTTTCTGAAACTGGTCTTGAGAGGGAATTTAGAGCTACTGGATCTTATCATCAGGTTGATAAATTGACTCCCGCAGGCTTTTACTACTAGGAGATTTCTAGCCTATCTTCCCTGGGGATGGAGTCAGAGTGGGTTGGAGATTTCAGTATATTTATGCCAAATCATGAGCTTTTTTCCATCACAGATTCAGTGCACTTAAGGACCCATATCTAGGATCTGTTTTTACTCTGCAGCAGTGAGACATGATCTGATAGAGGGGAACATTACTCAATGCCTTATCATGATCAGATCTCTCCCAAGTTGGATCGTTAAGAGGGTCCATTCAGTTGTCTGATAGATCCGCCTATTTTCAGAATGTGCCATTTAACCGGCACTTCCATTAGGTGCCTCATCAACCTCCAGTACATGATGGCTGTGAAAGCGCCAGAGTAACAGATCTACTCTGATATAGCATGGTACCTCATTCCAGGAGCTGTGCTAGCTAGCAGCTGATTTCCAGTGCAATGAAGATGCTATTTCCTACAAAGCTGTGTTATGTCTTTTGGGCAAGCTACACCTGAGACTAACTGCTTCACCCATCTGTAATGATTGAGCAGAGAAGGTATACAACGAATTCTCTTCCCAGGAGATCCAATGGAAAGGGGGCTGTAAGCTAACTTTCTCAGCTGTACCCTCCTTTTTTTGAAAACAATAAACTTGTGGATAAGGATGGAATCCAGCTAAGTTGTGCTTCTTCTGCAGGGCTTTTGGGATGAAATGAGAAACTCTGAAGGCTGGCTCTGGGATAGAAAATGGAAAGGGAGTTGTATTGAGTTTGACTGCAGGAGAGATTGGATGTTAAATCAATTCATTATACATGTGATTGTACACCATGTAAACTAGGGACTGAAGTGCCTATGGATTGTAGGCCTAAATAATAAAATAGGTACAGGAAGTTCTTGTTCAGCAACTGCAATTGGGACTGATGACACAGTTATTAAATGAAGTGGTCACTAAGTGAAAAAAAAACCCCACATGCTGACTGTGTTTACGATTTTAAACAGGACAATATATACTAACTGGCTGTAATGGTGAACATGTGACTGAGAGGTGGTGTGAAGCCCCTCTTATCTGACCATAGCCTCGGAAGAAGAATCTGCTCCACTTGTCCTTCAAGACTATTCCCTCAGCCTTTATAGTTATTAATCCATACATGGAAGCATATGACACTTAGAAAGAGGCTGACCTGAAGACACTTATGGGAACGTAAGAAGCTAGTTCTAGAACAGTGTTTCTCAACCTTGACAATTTTAAGGCATGTGGACTTCAACTCCCAGAATTCCACAGCCAGCAATGCTGGCTGTGGAATTCTGGGAGTTGAAGTCCACATGCCTTAAAATTGTCAAGGTTGAGAAACACTCTTCTAGAAGTATCAAGGAACTGGGAATCCTCACTCTGAAGCCAGTAGCTTTGCTGAAAATTTTGAGAACAAATTTGGTGCCTTTTAGCACAAAGCATACAAGCACGGCTTTTCCACAGTGCCATCTGCTGCCCCTTCCCGCTCCCTTTCTCGAGGACGCTTCCTCCACCCTCAGATATCTTTGTCCCTTTGGGCAACGCTTTTTCATACTAAGTATCGGGCAACGCTTTTTCATACTAAGTATCATACTAAGTATTTTTTGTTTTCTACAAAAAATAACAGGCCCTTTGAGATCCATTAAAAAAACTAAAGACAGTCCTGAGCTTCAAGATTGCCTACATGCTTGCTAAACATAAACCTCTTTGCAATATTCAGATGGATCCTCAGTTTTCTTCCCTTCCCTGCCAGTCATCTCTTTCCCTTATCTCAATTCCCACGAAATGTGTCACCCTGGCTCTCTTACAACCCCAGTTTAGTATCGAGAACCTTGCACAACATCACGTGCGTCATTAAATTACACCACATGGAAATTTGTTTTAAGACTTATGTTGGTCAAAGATTTCTTTTCCAATTATTCCTTTGTGTACATACTTATTTTATTTACAATAGGAAAAATTATATTCTTGTCCTGAGAAAATCAATTTAAAAGCGATTAAAATCGATTAAAAAATCGATTAAAAATCGATTTAAAACATGAAAAAAATTGTATTCCAACTCTGAAAAAAATTGATTTTAAAAGGAAACATGCAACATATAAATAGAATACATAAATAGAGTAAGTGCAGAGTGAAAGACAGATTCCCTAAGTATTTAAATAAGGTTTCCTATTCTGTGAAAATTATTTCCCTTAACAAAAATGAGAAGACAGTTTATGTGTTATAACCAAAGTTCCATTTTCCTTGGTGAGGGAGTATTAATTTCATCATGTGCTTTGGTCAGTTAAAACAGATAATCTGGTTTTAGAAACTGGAAAAAAAAAACCTAGCACCCTGAGTCAAGAGGATAATGAGATTTTAAGTTATTGTTTAAATGGAGGCCTTAAAATGTATGTCATAGCTAAAATGCTGTGTTTTTAGCGTTCCTCTCAGAGCACTAATTGAATTTTCTTACTTTAAGCTTTAAAAAAATGTTAAAAATGAAGTCCTCTGTTGAAATGCCAAGCCAAGGGCACCATCTATCACATAATTAAATACTCTGCAACGGGAATCTGCAAGAGCAGAGAAGAAGAAGCAGCACCAGCACCAATTTATTGTGTGCCCTGATTGGAACTTAACAGTTTCCAACGGCACTTTAATGATTTCTTTTTGTCTGTAACCATTTCATTCGTTAAACTTATTAAACTTTAATTAGCTTTAGCATACGTTGGTGTGAGTTCAAGCAGTTGGGAGTGAAGATTTGGCCCTTTTTTTTTTTTTTAATAGTGAAAGTCATGACTGGGCTATTTATAAACAAAGGACTGCAAGACACACTACTTTCTTCTAAATGAGTCTGGGCTAACTTTAGCAAAAGGTGAAAGTTCCATAATAGAGAGCCTGGGTAAGATTTCAGGCCAGACAATTCCAAATTACACCCTTAACAGTAAAATTGAAATAGCTTCCATTTTAATACAGCTATACATAATTAATTTTGTTGACATGTTGCTCTAATGTTGCCCTCAATAGTATGTTTTTGGTTAATCGAATGCATTTACTTCATGGCAAATACTAATTACATCTACTTACAGAACATGGTACTCTTCATCTTCAAAATACTGCAGGGACATTTATTATAAACACTAATTATGCTACTCTTTTGAAAGGTCCGAGGCCACAATGGCACAACAGGGTAAGAATATGTCTTCCTCACTTTGGTGGGTAAAGTAATAGCAGTTTTTGGTATTCTACAGCAGATGAGTAGCCTCTTTGGTTGACGAACAAGCATCAGAAGGAATGACTGGGAATCTTCACCCATTCTTTGATAAATGTTTTTCTCTGCTCTGTTTTCCAAGGCAAAATCATATGTATTTTGCAATAAACTTTCGAGTATGAAGGTTGTGGTTTGCAACCATTTTTTGGCAACTGTTTCAAGTTCTGGAACAGTTGAGGCCGTAACAAAGTTACAACGGTGCTGAAAAAAGTGATTTATAACTAGTCCTCACTCTTACAACCATCACAGCATCCCCACGATCACAAATTTACAATGGTTGCAGTGTCCTGGGGTCATGTGACTGCCATTTGCAAACTTCCCAGCCAATTTCTGACAAGCAAAGTCAGATTTGCCTAATTACCCCTTGGTTCACTTAACAACTGCAGTCATTCGCTTGGCAAAAAAAATAATTAAAAAAATAGGCATAACTCACTTAACTGCCTTGCTTAGCAACAGAAAGTCTGGTCCCAAATGTAGTCAATTTCAGTAAGGTGGGTATGGACAGAAAGTAAATCAAGATTCCAATTCCAAGAGAAAATGGAGATCACCATTTTCCAGTTCCCACTCACTTAGCATTGAGAACAAATTTAAGCTATTTAAATGAGACAAAGACTAGGGGGAAAACAAGCGTACAGGTAGTCTCCATTTAGCAGCAATTTGCAGTTACAATAGTGATGAAAAGTAACTTTACAACCAATCGTAGACTTTTTGCAGGTCTGGAAAGCAAAGCAAAACTGCAGTCAATGAGGGAAAAAATTACTTCATCCCCTGCTGATTTTGTACGTTTGCCCACTGACAAAGAAATGATCAGGTCTATAATTTCAATGGTAGGTTTATTTTAACAGTGAGAGACAGAATAACAACAAAAAAAATCCAGAAAAACACATTTCAAAAAAGTTATAAATTGATTTGCTCAAGAAGAAGCACATTAAGGTCCTGGAGTGGCCTAGCCAGTCTCCAAACCTTAATCCCATAGAAAATCTGTGGAGGAAGCTGAAGGTTCGAGCTGCCAAACATCAGCCTCGAAAACTTAATGACTTGGAGAGGATCTGCAAAGAGGAGTGGGACAAAATCCCGCCTGAGATGTGTGTAAACCTGGTGGCCAGCTACAAGAAACGTCTGACCTCTGTGATTGCCAACAAGGGTTTTGCCACCAAGTACTAAGTTATGTTTTGCGAAAGGGTCAAATGCTTATTTCACTCACTGAAATGCAATTCAATTTATGAAATGCATTTTTCTGAATTTTTTTGTTATTCTCTCACTGTTAAAATAAACCTATCATTAAAATTATAGACTGATCATTTCCTTGTCACTGGGCAAACATACAAAATCAGCAGGGGATCAAGTAATTTTTTCCCCTCATTGTAGCAACTACTTTGTTTAATGATTGAATTCCCATTCACAATTGTGATTATTAAAGGAGGCCTACAGATAGTCCTTGACTTACATCCATTTGTTAATGACCATTCAAAGTTATTATAATAGCACTGAAAAAAGTGACCTATGGCAGTTTTTCACACTTAAAGACTGGCATGCCATAGTTTTGTGATCAAAATTCAGGCACTTGGCAACTGGCATGTATTTATGATGGTTGCAGTGTCCCAAGGTCATGTGATCACTTTCTGCAACCTTTCTGATGAACAAAGTCAATGGGCAAGCCAGATTCACTTAACACCTATGCCACTAATTTAACAAATGCAGTAATTCATTTAACAATTGCAGCAAGGTTGTAAAATGGGATAAAACTCACTTAACAAGTACCTTGCTTAGCTATGGAAATTTTGGACTTAATTGTGGTTGTAAGTCCAGACTACCTGTGCTTGTAGATTTTCATGCTACTATTTGTAAGCTCAACTCTGATACCAAAACCAACCCTGTTCACAGGTACTCTTATTCAAAATAATATATTCTTCCTCTCTTGAATAATACTTTTGCACCTGGCTCTGGATAATGGATTCTGGGTTTCATCAGCTTAGAACTGTAAATGGGGAGTATCAAGTATATAACATGTTTAAGTCCAGTATATTATATACCATGTTCTATAGGGAGATCTCAAAGTAGAAATTTAGAGATAGGTTCCATACAACATTTGTAAGACAGGAGAAGGAATCAGGAACAAAATGGCAGCATATCATAGTTTTTGTTTTTCAGCAACTGCATTCTCAAGAGAAGACCTTCTGAGTTGCAGATTGCTTATTCCTCCTATACAGAAGGCAAACACATCTTCATTTTTGGAGTGTTGTGAGCAGTATGTAAAGTAATAGCTACGTGTAGTAAGTCCATGCAGTGAAGGAAGCGTGGAGGGTTCCATGTTTTCCCGCATTATAGAAGCTCATCTAAACATCCACATTCATTTTAAGAAAGAACCAACATCATGATCAGGATCCTGACCGCATTACTAGTCAAATGATAATAGCTGAAAGCCCTACTTGTTTCTTTGGAAAGTGATTGCGCTAATTTATCATGTGAAATAATTGAGATGAAATGGATTATTCGGTCACGTAGTATGCACCAATAAGGCTTGGAACTTATTTAATACTTCCTTTGATTTCACTTTTTTAACTTCACTTCTGTAATTTTTTAATTTGATCTCTCCAAGTACTGAGCAAATTTTTCTTTTCCCCAAAAAACACTGAAGCTGCAATTCTATACATTTTTTACTGAGAAGAAGCCAAACTGAATTCAATGAGATATACTTCTAAGACTAAATATTTAGAACTACAGTACCACTACATTGACTGCAATAGGTTGTTTTAAAAATATTTAAAATATTGTCCTAGAATAGACATAAAATCTTAATTTTTATTTAGGAATGCATCCCCATTGCTTTAATGTTGCTTTGGTTTTTAACTAAACAAATGTTTATTAATGTATTTATTAATTATTATGGCTGTAACAAATTAGCTAGAAGACAAAATTATGAAGGCAGGTACCTTAAAACCCAAGAGAGGAGGTCGAGAGCAGCTTGTCACAAACTTGAGTAATTTACGTTTTTCATCATCAGTGAAACTTTCAACTACTATCCAAAATATTTTGATTACTGGATGATCTGCAGAATAACCTCCTACCATTTAAAAAAAGAAAATAAAACTGAGTTAGAGAGTTATTCTACATGATTAGAAAACAATTATTTTTTAGTCTTTCTATATCTGGATCTGAAAAACAGTATCAGGATGGAAGGGTGGACTAATAAACAGTAAGTTTTTGTAAGCTTTACTAATAGGAGGCATAAAGAATAGTTAAAAGATCATATAATCATTTCTTTCATATACTATTTAAGGGATAACAATATCTTAAAACTAAGGGAAACGTGTTGCTAATTTTAGGACTACTCATTCCTTTTTGTACATTACTGCATATTATGTTAATATATTTTTTGCTACTTCTAGTCTTTGATTATTCATCCTCCAAATGAGTGCATGTGTGGGCATGCATAAAGAGTATAAGCATATAATTTATTCTTCTCTTGACATCAAAGAGAATTAATCATATTCAACCTCCCTGGCTTGGATTCTTTATTTTTGTCCTTCAACGCCACCTTTATTTACCATGTACTTGCCTGAATAGTTTGTGAAAGTTTTAAGATCCTCTAGACTAATTGGAACCTGAGCTCCAGAAATCAAAACCTGGAAGGGTTGGAGAAAAAGCAGTATATGTGGTTAATACATCTAGGCAGAATATTAGAATCTTCTTAATTTTCTTTAAAGTTGCTAAATGTATCATTTCCTCCATTTGGCTGGGCAATTATACCTGTATTTCTTGTTGATCGAACATTCTGAGCCACTCAAGATTAACAACATTGGCAAGACCTTGTCTGAATGCCAGGCAATGCTGTCTGATTTGTTTATTTAACCTGTAGTCTGCCACAAGATGGATGTAGGCGATTCGGTTTGCACTAGTGACAGGAATATCCTTTCCTCCAAGCTTCAATTCAACCACCTATAAAAACACAAAACATCCTATATGAAATCAACCCCATTCGCTCTAGACAAATTATTTCCCCCTAGCCCCAATCACTTTCCATGACGTTGTGCTGATGCAGCAATTCACACACCAATCTTTAATAATTATGAATACATTATTTTTATATGGCACTATCAATACTTAAAGAATGAGTCTTTGCCTGGAAGGGGACATTTTGGCTAAGAAAGACGGAATATGGCCCATTTGTTACGGCATTTGCCACTAGATGGCATAATGGAACAACAGGGATTCTGAAGAAGTTTGATTCAACAAACTTTTGTTGACATCAACTTCTGAAAATCTCTCTTAAAGATGGAAAACACACATTCCCTAAAAACAATACTTCAATGCCCCAGCTACTCCCTCATTTCAGCTTTATATCATTTTGGGGGGAAAAACACCAAAATTTGCTAGGAATGGAATTCATGATTTTGGCTGAAACTCCTGCAATTTTTTGAAGTTTAGAAAACAAATATCGGAATGCGTCTTGATTTAAAAGGAACTCTCTAAGATTATGTACAAAATGTTTTTTTGCACTTAACAGTTATTATGGGTAAATCGTAAACAAGCCAAAATGTGTACGTTTTGAGAGTTCAAATCAGGACTGAAAAAGTATTGAAGTTGAAATGTTTTGAAAGTCCGGGATTAGCTGCTACGATTGAATACTGACTATCATTTAAATTCTCCTGTTGGAGTCCATATAGCGGGGGGGGGGGGGGGGAGAGAAGTATGATATGGGTAAGGGGCAAAGTGACCACTGGATTCAAGGCAAAGCAGTGCTTCTGCTGGAACAGTGGTAACTAGTAGTAACTGCCTGCCAGCCTTCCTCTGCTTGCACAATGACCATGTTTGATTCAGTGTAGCAAGGTTTGTGATCGCTGAACAGAGCATCAGGGATTCCTTCACCCCTTGCTATGTGGAACTTGTTTTCTTTTGAATTTGACACAATTTCCTTGTACAGCTCCAAAAAAATAAACCCTTTTCCCAAATCTGCTTATTTCAGGAAACCAATTTTTTTCACTGGTTTCTGCATACTCTATCTCAGTGATGGCAAACCTTTTAAAGACTGAGTGCCCAAACTGCAACCCAAAACCCACTTATGCATCGTTGGGTGCCGAGTGGGTGTGGCCCATTGGGTGGGTGTGGCCCATTGGGTGGGCGTGGCTTCGGTGGTAACGGCAGACTGGGTGGGACTAAAAAGTTCAATCAATCAATTCCAACTTTGCAAGATCTTTTTTTTCCCGCGAGAAGTTGAAATTGACTGATTGAACCTTTATTTTTTTGCACATGGCGGCGGAGGCCTAAAGCGAAAAGGTTTTAAAACCCAGCTGAAGGCCTAGGACTGGGTCTGATGGCGCGTGTGCCCACAGAGAGGGCTCTGAGTGCCACCTCTGGCACCCGTGCCATAGGTTCACCACCACTGCTCTAGCTGAAAGCATGGTTAGATACAGGTACATTAAATACAGCCTTTTCCCATTGTCTTTTCTGGGGGTTTTTCCCTTCCACCATCGTTCCATCCGTCTCCTTTTCTACAGCAGCACTGCTGAACAAGCTACAACCAAGGAAAGGGGCTGATCAGAGGCAGACTGGTACCAGGTTTCCTGGTCAAAAGGAAGGAAGGAAGGGCTGAGGGCTGATTTTAATATTATACTTGTTCCTCAGGCATTGAAAGTAAGGTGGAGTGAAGAGCTGAATGTTGAGGAAGGAGTTATTTGCCCAACCAAGTACAGAAAAGTAGTGGTGCCAGTGCTTTATACGGCCAATCCCTCTGTTGCAAGGTTCAGGACCCAGGGGGATAGTAGTATCCAAAACAGGCGCATTGCAACCCTAGACAGCCTGGAGCACTTCAAATGTATATCTGTAGCCATTGCAGAAGGAATCCAGGCAGTCTGGGCCCTTAAGCAGCCATCTAGGCATCATCCAGGTGCCTTTCCACTTCCAGCAGTCCTAGGTGAATTGTCAAGTAGCAGTAAGTTCTTAAGCAAAGGAAGCTGGCTTCACAGGGGTGCCCCAAAAGCACCAGGAGGCATGCTTCAGCTGATAATAACTCCAGATGACCAGACTTTCAGCACAGTAGGGGATTCTGGCACTTCTTCCACCTGGCACTCAATCCGGAACTACCTGTTCCAGAGAAGGGGTATACTTCCCGTATCACCATGGAAGAAGGAATGTTGAGACTACTTCAAGCAGCAACTTCACCTTGGAGACTCATTATGAATGAGTATCCCTAGCCTCTCCTCACCATACACACTGATGATGTCTGTATACAAATGAGGGGGTATCTCCTGCTGCAGACTTCAATATCTCCCTTGGTGTAAAACCACAGTTGAATGGGTACTGCTTCACACCAAGGCGTGGACAGATGAGGTGATATATCCCACTCACCCACCCTCAAGATTCCCACAATTGTGTGGAAGTCTGTGAGGCATATGGCAGCAACACCGATAGGAGCATATATTTATTGGGATTATCATCCTACTGTGTTACAATATATTAATCAATTGGCAGAATATGCTAGTGAATAATTAATAATGCAATCTTCTGTATCAGTACAGAAAAATAGTACAATCTTTATGAATTAATGGAGAAAATAATAATAATAATAATAATAATAATAATAATAATAATAATAATAATAATAATAATAAATAATAATAATAATAATAATAATAAAGTTGGAAGGGACCTTGGAGGTCATCTAATCCAACCCCT